TGAGTTGATCGCCACCCTGCTTCTGCAGTAGGGAAAAAGCCCTGAAATGACAGGCTAAAGAGAACAATCTTGCCACGCTGTTCACTAGCTCGGATGTCATCAATTGATCCGTTCGCAAGCCCGAGCCGCGCATCACCATCCCTCTGCTGTCCTTGGTTTTATTAGCTCCCCAAGCAATTTGCTGAGCATCTCCAACCAACAAGACGTGCGGCTCGCAGATTATCGCCAAGACAGTTTGTCGCCAGCCTAGTAAAATCGCGGGTCCAACTTTTTACGCAGCGCGAGATTCTACCACTTATCTCTATCCATCTCATTTCCTTGCCAATATGTGTCACGACACCAGGCCTCAATCAGGATGAGAGAATGTAAACTAGAGGTATAAGTAAAATTAATTGATCAGCAGGCACATACGACCACAGCCGCCAGTAAAACTCACGATCCCGTCTGATCTCGCACGATAATCTGGCGAGCGCCGGATTAGTAGTTGGGTCGGTGACGACCAGCGAATACCCGGTGTTGTATGTTTTTTTGCCCTTACTAGACGAATCCTTAAGTCCCGTTAGCGTATGTTTCTTTTTATCCCGGAAAGCATTTTCACAATGCCTTAGGGAGTTATATACTAGCAAGTGTTTTTTTTTTAGATTAAATAAGTAGACAATATTTGCCAGGGCTCGCCTGCATAAGTTGCGGTCTGTAACGTGGCATACCGTACACTACATTACTATTTGCATTTGTAGGGGCCTCCACTTTTGGTGGCGTAACCCGTTCTATTCAGAATACGATTGAATCCGTTCCGATTCGATTAAGAGATATAGCCCGTCCGGTCCTTTTGCACAGCAGTCACATACTAATCGGCAGCTATCTTGACAAGCTTTAGGATTAAGAATTCCTTTGCGTTGGTGATGTTGGGTGCCTACGAAGCTTCTAGCTCTTATCTCGAGGAGTTGGGGACCACTTCTCCTGCTTACCATTTCGAGAGCGAGAACATCGAAGTCGTTTTATCCGAGAAATAAAAATATTGTAAACAGCATACCCGAGTGCTTATCAAGCCACTTTCAGGGCGAGGAAGCCGAGCGTGTATCTTCCTTGTCCATCAAAAAGGCTACAAGGCCACGGGGCAAAAGATCAAGCTAGTAAAGGCAAATCTAGCGGTCAATATAGGCGTAGGGGTAGTCTATACAGCATTTGATCTAATCCGCCGCTTTCTACAGTTGGAACAACGATGGTTGGCCGAATGCCCAAGTAAGCATCTCCGTGGCGCGACAGCGCCCGTCTGTCGGCCACACATACTGCAAGCAGATTTCTGCTTTCAGCTCGAGGGTGAAATTATTGGTGATATTCAAATACTCACGAATCTTCTCTTCCGCAGATTGATCTCTCATTTCCAAAGCCACAATCTTGCAGCCAAGCCGCCAAAGTCGGTCAATGCCAAGGTACCACGCGGCCTACAGCGTTTAGTCTAGTTACCCATGAAATGAAAAGGAACAAAAAGGTCAAGGATGGAAATACGCATAGTAGATCAGATATAAACACGTACCTGTGTGATTTCCATAACATGGGCCCTGTTAACCTGCATGTAGTTCTGATCCCACTCCTTAGTCTGAAGACTCCTGATTCTCCGGGTGGTGGTGCGTGTGTCCCTGTGCTGCTTGCACCACCGAAAGACCTTCCGAAGGATGGTGCCGTTAGCCTGGAATTCATTTTAGCAAATGATGTGGAGACGATAACGAAGTCAAGGTAGTGCACACATAAGGGAGTTGGATGGGATTCTCCTGGCTGCTCGATCCATTGCCGATGAGTTGAAGCATACTCTTAATCAGCATAGATTGCTCCGCTACATCGCGTTCTGGTAAAGAACATTTGAAGGGTTAGTTAACTTTTCATTAGCGGGTGGAAAACGGACTGCGGCCATCGGCTGCTGTGAGTCTCAACTCACCAACCTCGATTGTGGCCTTGTCAAGGCCCCGAATCCAAACCAGATCCTGCTGTTCAGCCGGCATTCTTGGTGATTGACGGTTGAAGTACCTGTCGGGTTCCAACTTTTCACCCGTGAAACTACCGCCAGAAAGCATTAATTTGTTCGCCACATAAATATGCCCGTTGACCAAGGCATAGTAAAACGGTGTTCTGCCAGCGTTGTCTTTCAAGTTGGCTTGAATATGCTTTTGATTCAGAAGCAGTGACGTCACAGCTTCGTCTCCATTTTCCGCAGCAAGTGACAGAGGCGTTCGACTAAAATACTTCATCCCGCCGTGAGGGCGGAAACCTGTCGACTTCAAGTTTGGATTGGCACCCGCCTCGAGCAACAGCTTGACCATAGCGTCATGTCCATTCTCCGCGGCTACCATTAGCAGTGTCTGTTGTTTGTAGGGCCCGTAAGTCTCTTGTACAGTAGGGTCGGCGCCCTTATCAAGTAGCCGTTTTGCCATGTTTGTATCCCGTTCTCTGCTGCATAATGTAACATGGCGAGGCTTTGTAAGTATTTTAGGCTAACGTGTATGTCGGGATGGGGAGGAAATAGCTCCTCCATCTCACCATGCCTGTCCTTTACGGAAAACGATAGCGGCGTCCGTCTTATGTTGCGTTGGGTCATTGGTATAGTAGGATTAGCACCCTTATTGAGTAGCCGTCTTACTATGCCTGTATGTCCGTTTTCTGCTGCATAACTTAACGGAGTCCAATTTGATTCTCCTCTCAAGTTAATATCAACGTCTGGGTGAGCAATCAACAGTTCTACTATCGCGTCATGGCCGTTCTCCGCGGCAATTAACAGCGGTGTCTGTCACTCTCTACCGTACGAGCCGGTCAGCTGCACGTTAGGGTTGGCACCCTTGTCAAGTAGCTGTTTTATTATATCCTCGTGTCCTTTTTCTCCTACGTAACCTAGCGGAGTCCAACTGGATGCAGTGTTCTTAGAATTGGGGTTAACATCCTGCCGCGCGAGTAGCAGTTTTACCACTGCCTCCTTGCCCATTTCTGCCGCAAACGACAGTGGTGTGCGTCCTTTATCATATGGAGGTCTTGTGGCCTCGGCGTCTGGATCAACACCGTACGTTGTAAGCAACAGGTCAACTAACGCATTGTAACCGTGTGCTGCCGCATACAGCAGTGGTGTCTTTCCGTCAGAGTCTCTAGGATCCGGAGTATCCCCATTGCTGAGTAGATCCACGACAACTTCCTTTAAACCAAAGAGTGTCCCGATATGCACACATGTTTTCCCCCCGAGATCTAGGCTGTTGAAGTAGTCCTGAGACACCATCAAAGCTTGGCTGATGCTGGAGACTTTGGCCTCGGCTTGTAGAAAATGTATAATCGAGTGATCCATTGTCATCGAAGCCTCGCGAGCATGATGCCCCCAGGAGCTTACAGCATAGTGGTAAAGTGGATTCGCTTGCTGCCGATTGTGGTGTTCCGCATATTCATACGCTCTGCTTTCGAAATCTTTCAACGAGAGATAACACATTATGAACATATTGGCCGTGCGTAGGCGTGCATGGCGCCCATTGAGATATTGAGTGATTTGCCATTTGTCGTGTTGTGTAATTGGAGTTCAACTTGACGAGCTCGGCCTCGTATGTTTACAAAATTTCCGCAGGCAAAGGGCTTGGCATTGTCGACTTGACGTATAAAACGCAGCCATTCGCTCCTGGTACCAAGGCTGCTTGCTTAATTAACATGTCCAATAATCTATTCTTCTCTGCTCAGCATCCATCATCTACACACCATGCGTTTCATCAACCCCATTGGCGTTGCGGCCGCCGCTGTTGCTGTGTTGGCATCACCGATTGAACCTGTGGAAAACAAGACCGTCCTTCCACTGAAGCACGTCTCCTCAGTCAAGTCTATCAAGGGTATTGTTAACAAGGGCCTGGCCCGCATTCAAAAGTTCAACGGCGTGAAGACTCTTGAAAGCAATGATGCCAGCTCCGGTTCTGCTTCATACCCTCTGGCGGAGACTCATAACACAGGTGACTACGATCAAATGGCGCATCCAGCATCAGACCCTGGATCGTTTTCAGCCGAGAGTCCCGTTACCGTTGGACAACCTTCAAGAAGACTGATTTATTGAAGCGTCTATATGCGTTCCTGCCTTTAATATCTACTTGCTGTATTTCTCAGACATTACCAACAACCCTCTCTTTTGTACGTTGTGCCTGGGCAACCAGAGCCCCTTGTTAACTTTGCGGTCTTGGAAGGTGAGAGTTGGGTGCGCAATGGCGGTCAGCTAGCACCAACAGAAGTAGAGTCCTATTGCTGACATGTCTTCTTCCCCAAACAGCTGATGATCTGGAGATTCCACTCGCAGCAAAATTGCGAATATTTGTGGGTTTCATTAGTTGCTATTATAAAGCCTATAGTATACAAGTCGATTAACATGACGGCGAGGTTGTTCAGGGCATGCACGCCTGGCAACGCCTAGCGAGTCCGACCAGGTTCTTAACCCATAGCCTTGCCGCCATGACTCGCATCTGCTCGGGAAGGCCCACCGAATTCATACTCGGGTCGTTGGACATGTCCCGCGAGACACAGCATGAATAACTGAAGGGCACAAGGGGCTAGCCGCTCCATGCTAGTTGCCCGAAGGCCCGAAAGGCCGAAGACCCGAATGCCCGAGTATCGAGGATCGAGGACAAAATTAAGGATCAATTTTTATGCTTCCTCGTGCCCGTACTATCGCGATATGAGAATAGTAGGGGGCCAAATGTCACATCGTAGCGCACGAGCAATGATTCTGGCGTGATCAATTTACTGATGGTCGTATAATCTTCAGACGGCTTCATGCAGACAATACTTGCTAACCGCGCTAACAAAACCTCTTTGGATTTTTTGGCACACATGATATTAATAATATCCAACAATTCCATCCACTCTGCTTGTTGAATTAATCAGTCCGTCTTGTCCGATGCTATTTAGTCCTGAGCTGCAATAAATCCACCGGTAGCCCTCAACTAAGTTGCATGTTTTGTAACGGTCCAAGCGGAGTGTATTGGCAACTAGCTAGGCGACTACTACAAGTATCTAAACGCTAAAGAAAGAGAAACAAAACAAGCAAAGAAGACTGCTCAAGAGCTCGATGCGTTGGTAATCTTGCTTACATGTATCGGTGGGTCCCGGGCGGCCGGCTAGGACCGAAGGCAAGAGTCTGGTGCAAACATTGAACCGAGCCGCACCGGGCTTAGCTCATTGCCGGGATCTCACGATGCCCCACTTGAATTACTGCCGGGCTCAAGTCCGTTATTGAGGTTAAATCGATGATTTTATCTTCTATGCAGTCTTGTCGGGCAGGGAGACAAAGTCTACCCTGCTAGGATGCACCGGCATAAGCTACTATTACCATGGCCGACTCTGCATTTAGCGCTGTTTTCATTGCACCCTCTCCGTCTGGTGTTCCCGGACTAATGATAGATTGACGGGCGGCCCGAAAAGTTGGGGCGCAGCACGAGTAGTTGCCATGTTGCATTGGGACCAAAATATCCGACAATCCGGTCAATGCCGGCCAGCTATGGTTAAGCGCCTAGCGCCCTACACCTCCTGTGTGACAAGGGCTCGATAGAGGGCTTGAAGCAATAGCTTAATTTAGAGATAATCCTGTAGAATGCCAAAGGTCCTTGATTTTGCAAGAGAGAAAAAGGGGCTAGTAACTGCTATGTATATATATAGGAAAAACAAGTGTACTTAGGGTCCCTTCCCAGTCAGGTATCTATTCTGTGTAAACGTGAGGTTTTTCGTCCTGATGCCCCTTTGTTCGGCTTTGTTAGCTGGGTCGAAGCCGTGTATTCTCCTGTTGGATTTCATAATGCCCTGTACATCTTGAAATTTCGCCGAGGCGACTAGCCTATTCGATGATATTGGAAGCTTTATGTAAGCAAGTTTATCTGCCTAGTCCAGGCTAGAAAATCCGAAACTCCAGGGCTTATTGCACGTAAAACCATATAAAAACCGTGGCAGTACCGAGGACCTGCGCTACTTTGTAAAAGCCTAAAGTGCTTGGCTTTTATTAATCTTCCCGTAATGTCAGGGTTGCTTGCTAGGATCTTTGCCATACATTCTTTTCTGCGTTGTATGATCTAGACGCGAGTCATATGACGCTGTGATGCCGTCGGGGCCGTCTTGTCTAGAATCGTTTTCCGCGACCAGGACATGAGTCGAGATAAAGATAATTCATATATAATGGATTATATAATTTAAAGTCTTTATACACATGTAGGCGCGCGAGGATAAATACGCCAGGCTACCCATCTAGCTTGTTTTATTTCTATACATCTTCAGCAAACACTACCTCGTGCTGTCTTGTTCCTTTTTATTCTACAGGCCCGTCTTTGGTAACTATCTCCTTCAAAATGGTACCCAAGGCTGCTGTTACACTAGTTGTCGCGTTTTCTGCTGTCTTAGCAGCAGCAGCGGCAACTACTAATAAAAGAATTATTGGCGGAGAAGTGGCCAAGGAAGGTGACTTTCCATTTATTGTCCGTTTACAATATGGCGACGATACTTCGATATTATGTGGAGGCACTTTACTAGACAGTATAACAGTTCTTACTGCTGCTTATTGCAGGCTTAAAGAAATTACTAGCGTAAGAGCAGGGAGCCTGGTAAATATACCCTCTTTTCATATATTTTATTAGGCTACGCGGTTAGCTATCAGGGCGTCTAATCACTTGTGTGGCTAATAAAACGTTAATACGTATAAAGAGCTAATAATTATACAGGATAAAGACACAGGAGGAGTAGTGGCACAAGTTGGATCCCGAGTGAGGCACCCGGATTACGTGCCTAACGGGCACCATAATGATATTGCTATCTTGAAATTATTAACTCCGATTCAAGCGAGCCAGACAATTGGCTACGCAAAGCTACCAGCGAGCGGCTTAAACCCAGTAATTGGTTCTACCGCAGTAGCTGCAGGCTGGTAAGTGCCATGAAGGGTATACTCAGACAAGACGCTAACTAATAGGCAAGGGGGTTAACGGTAGAATTACTTGGAACTGTATCCGATAAACTTCGCAGGGTTACTCTTCCTGTTGACGCTCCCGATGAGTGTTTTGACTTGGAGATTGATGCAGATAAAGGATATCAAAACCATCTAGATACAAGAGTGTGCGCTGGTGAACGGGGCAAGGATACAGGCCGAGGGGATAGCGGTGGTCCTCTTATTGACCAGGAAACGAGACAATTAATCGGTGTCACGTCGTCTGTTCCTCATGGTGCTCAATATGGCCGCGGCTTTTATACTAGGGTTAGCAGCTTTATCCCGTGGATTAACCAGAATCTTGGGGACTCGGGGATTGATCCGCGCCGTGTAACGGGCTATATGTAGGCCCGAAAATGGCTCGGCTGCGCTCCTGCCTCCATCGACAAGCTGCCAATGGCCAACAAGCGAGATTAGTAGCAGCGAGCTCCTCCAGCTCTTTTCTCCTTTCTTCTCTTCTTTAGCTTTTGGTATTCCGGTAGAATTACCTCGAGCGCTTGTATCGTTGTTTCCTCTCTTCTTTCGCTTTAGGTATTTGTTAGAATTACCTAGTCAGTTATCAATACACTCGCTAGACCGTTACACGCGGCACTACTGCTTGTTTATATCGTGGTTGTATAGTTGTGTAACTATAATTGGGGTTTAGCTAGCGCCCCTCGACTCCGGATTTCACAGCCGTGTTCCAAGGCAACTGCCGGCGTATTTAAGGACACAGAATTCGCAGCGAAACAGTTTCTCCCTTATAGTTCCTGTACAGGTTAATATCAATACTTGACTCACAATCGTCCCCATGTTTATCTAGTACCGAATACCATGGAGCCAACATCAGGTTTACCATTACTGTCTTGGCTATCCTTGCTGCATCGGCGACAGCGCAGGCTCCATATAAGTCTACTGGGGACCAGGGGTCAAAGGGGATAGTCTCCCATTATGGAAATATCACACTCGTTATCTACACGTTTATTCACAGATCGATGTTAATTGGACATGTAACCGAGACATCACTCTTTGTCGTAAATGAATAAACCCTCTTCTGGAAATTTTCTTCTGCCAAGTGTGTGAAAAATAGTAGTAGGGCCAGAGTGAAGTAAAACGAGTAATCTATTTCGGAAGCAAACGCACAAGCGAACACAAGGCACACCTTGCCAGAAATTGGTAGTGCTGCTTACAGCCTATATAGAAAGACAGTGGGGAAAAACCATTTGATTCCGAGGATTGGGTTACAGGGGGAGAGACTTTCGCTACAAGAACACAGCCTCTGCCAGGTCACAAAGTTGGCAAGACTCAAAAATCACCGCATCTCCACGGCACAATATTCAGATACATATTGTGGCTTCCACCTACTCTCAAGCCAATTTATGAATAATAAAAACGGTATTCGGGCCGTAACTACGCATGCTCTCACGATTTGATACCATGCACTTGATGTTTCTAAAGCCAAGGTCTCAAAGATGTTTACTCCATACGGTTTCTGGAGGGCGCGGACAGTTTCCACTAGCAGCTCTGCACGGGAGCCATCAGTGTCTCTGCATTCATCAAGTGCGTCAATGACGATGAAGACTTTCGAATACAAAGAGACCACCGCATCGAGAGCACTTGAAAGTTGGCCAACAGACGGCCGCATATGCTCGGCCCTCAGGCAGTTGTAGAGAGACTTGACGCATTCCGGTACAGAGCCTCGGCGTTCCGCCAGCTGCTTTAATAAGCATTCAAGGAGGCAGTTCAGTTGCTGTTCATTTTGTCGATTGTAGTTGCAGTAGAGGTAGGCAACGCCAATATTCCTGTCATTCTGGGAGCGAGTAGTGAGATGCTCGACCACAACGGATGTGAGGATTGTCTTTCCTGCCCCGGGGGCTCCCGTACAAAAAAGCGTCTGCTTACTGGTTTTCAGCCACGTCTGGAATTTCCCAGACTCCAAAATCCATTGGCCCGTTCCTGGTTGCCGCTTGTTTGCAATGTCGCTGTGGTAACTGCCGTGGTCGATTTTTGTGATGCAGTTGAGAATCGTTTCATCTGCCTGATCACGATTCTGACATATGAGGTCATCAACACCTCTCGACGTGTGCATGACGTGACCTTGAATGCCGGCGAGGACTATAGCAAGTCGGGTACAAGTTAATGCACATGGCAGCAGAGCACACCAAGACACGACTGGCCAAGCTAGGAAGCTAAACGGGGAAAAGTTGCAAGCCTAAGCAAGTATAGCTACTCACGTTCCTCCATCTTGCCGGCCCATGATGGGGCTCCATGGACCTTTTGTGGTTTAAGGATATAGAGAAGCTCTCGTGCATATGCCGCCGCTGCGAGGGCTGCGTAGTTGTGCCATTGATCATTTTTGTGGGAATCCGAGTAATCGCAAATTCCTCGAATCACTAGGCAGGGAAAGCTGTTCATCAAACCAGCAGCCTCCATCTCAAAGCACAGGACATTCAGGGCTGGATCCTGGGCGTATTCGTCCCTGTCTTTGGCATTCTTCATGACCGAGTTGGCGGACGCAATAGTGCCATAGTGAACGGTGACGACGCGGTTGCTCGAGCGTGGTGGTCGTTGCACCACCTCACACGTCTCACACTTCGAACAGTCCTCTCCACCCTGGTGAGGGTAGTCGGCACGGTATAATCGATCGTCATCCGGGCGTTGGTAGTCGGGCTCCTCGTCCATCAGCTTGACATGTTCGGCAATTCTGTCAGGCTTCCTCGAATCGTTGTGAAGCCGTCGCATCTCTGGGAGAACCCCAAGCACCACCTGCGGAGGACCATTAAGCTGCCCGCTCTGTTCGAATCGCCCGCCCGGCAGGCGCTTCCCGAGATCATATTGCACAACACCCCCCAATTTGCCCTGCGGCTGACTAACCACAACATCGCCCAGTCGAATGTCCTTTCCCGCGGTAGGGGCGCCCCCTCCTATGCCAACCATCAACGCGAACCTCAACTTGGGGAAGGAGCGGACCATATCTCTAGCCACACTGGCGGCCGAGTTGGTGCCATACTGGCCGCCCGGCAGGCATCCCAAGACTACATTATGCCCACTGATACAACCATACACGTAGCTGCTGTTGTCGTTGACGTCAGCCGTATCTGGGCCGTCGAATTCGGCATCAAGCATTCGAGCCGCAGCATCATATTCTTCCTGCAAGGCACAAATCCAGCCGATGGTATAATCCTCGATGGACGGGTTTGACATTGTGGATAAGCGTCGACTTTATTGGTACTGGCAGAGTAAAGAACCTGGTTATAAAAGTTCCACGTCTCCCGGGGAGAAAAGTAGGCTCGTTGCAATACTAGAGAGCCCAGGTGAAAAAGGCACAACGGCCAGCTGGATTCAGCGACTCGTTTGTGATTAATACCCAACTCCGCCAAAGAACACCTGAGAACAGGGGACTGTGTTTTTAGACGCAGCCTGCCAAATCGGCCAAGGTTGGGCATCAACAATGGAATATGGAGTACTGCTGCGTGAAGATGGCAGATGTACTACCGCACGACGCTTAGGAGCGGAGCACCTGTTACAGCAGATGTGGAATACTAGCCGCTATCAGAATCAACGAGGCTGGCCGATCAGACCGTCGAACAAACCAACGGCCCAAATGTCGTAGATTGCGGGGGAGGGGTGAGGAAGACGACATGTCAAGGGTCTCGCATGTCGGCTGTCATCAGACTCGTCACCACTCACATACCTTCGTCGTTGTGCTCCCTTTTTGATGTGAGGCTGCAAGCATAGAGAAAAAACGGAAGCTCTAGACATACAAAGTGTGAGATTTTGTAAAACTGAGCTGCATCGGTCCTAAACAGGGCAGGTCGGGACGCCTTCGATTGCAGGGAGAAGCAACCTAATGGCAGCTGTGAAGGCTCAATGAGATGGTCAGTTGGGCATTACACGGCCAATCTGCCGTTAATTTAACTGCAATATTAGGTAGATACAAATCTGCGCGGGCACCAAGTTCTCAGGTGTATACGACGTTGTGCGGAGATATTTTAACCCGGCTATTAATATTGCATCACCAGGGCGGCACGGAACGTCCCGAACCCGCTCATGCTCCACAGCGACGATCCCCTCCGGATAAAACAATTCATGTTGGTTTTGGCCACTCTTAATCATATGTAGGGCCCCTGCATTTCAAAACGTCAAGTAGCATCAGGCCGTGCCAACCACGCACGCTGCTTTGATGCTGCCCCCCCTTTCTCTCATTCTCATCTCAACCTTGGCCTCCGTTTCATCGATTGGTTTAATACCGATCCCCTCTGCTAATATTCAGCACACTAACCGCAGAAATAGCTGTCGTGCCATACAGTATACCATACGGCCTACGGAGTACACATGGTCCGTTGGGGCTCCTGCGCGGTCACGCGTTCAGTCCGTGTAACCATATGGTCCTTTATCAGTGAAGCCCCTTTGTTGGGCTTCGTTGTTGGGTCCTAACCGTGTAACATTACACAACACAGTAATTTCGCCAATAGGACAACATTCGCTGCTTCAAGGTTCACTTGAGATGAAGTTCATGCCTTTGAGACCACTGGCTATGGCCAGATCCAGCTACAAAAGCTAGAAGTCGAGTGCGCCTACGAAAAAGCGTCTGCAGCTGTGAAGGCACGTACCGCATCACGCAGCCTTTATCCACCGTCTTCAAAGTCTAATACCGGTATGAAACACGAGTCAAAATCCAGCCATCGGGGCATCTGGTAATACCTTTGCTTCCCATTCGTTGTTTGGAAGTATTGTCTTGCACTAAAGACAGAAAATAACCCCCAAAGATACCCGGCAAGGGCATAGGCAAACGTAGTGTACTGTACACTGTTGCGTCTTCAAGCAGTTTTCTAGAGTGATTTGCAATGTGTAATGCACAATGCAAAGCACGGATACATCTTCCTGCAGCCTTTATCAAGGTTTATCAGTACACAGCAGATATTAACGACTAGCCCCCAAATACATCAAAGTGGCCAAAACAAACGAAATGCCCTAGCATCGCGTCTATACAGATAAGTAGTGACACACATTGGTGGGGTGACGTTGTTGAACCCGGACACCATTCTTACAGCCGCCCATTGCACTCCAACCCTTGCGGTATTCCGAGCCCGTCTAGGATCGCCGGTACGTTTTGCCTTGCCTATAGACCTATATTTTGGGTTTGGGAGCAAACAAACCACGTCAAAGTGACAGCTAACAACACTATAGAACTGACTCCCTAGTCAGCGTGGCATCTGTCCAACCTCACCCCGACTACAACCCTTGCAACTCGGACATCGACACTATTGTCTGGAAAGTAGGCTCAGAGCAGCACGACGACTCGGTTGCCGACAAACCCACGGTGACTGTAGCTGGTTGGCACGAATCCGCTATTGATAAGCCAGTCTTGTCGCACACATTCTTTCATTCAGTCTAGGGGAAAGCTGAATTCAGGAAACACCGACTATGCCAAGCTATTGCGCAAAGTATCCGTTCCGGTTGTAGTCCGCGACGCCGGCGCAAGAGTACCCTCGGACAACGCCGCTGTTCATAGACTTGGGACAAGTGACATTGCTTTGGCAATAGAAAATGGTCAGATTCGCAGTGACCACATGGCCAGACGTGAAGGGTTCAAGGCCAGCCCAAAGTACATCCAGATAGACGGGGCAAATCCAACAAGGCCCAACTCTCTCAGCCCTGTGACCCTTATTATGCGGTGGCTTCCGATATGTAGAAGGCAGTATCGGTAACAGCTTCACATCCCGTCCGACAGCACACAGCACACCAGCCAGTCCTATCAAGTCCACGTCAAGTCCACGTCCAGTCCACGTCCAGCCCACGTAATTCGTAAAAGTCATGACCGCCAAAAAAAAACCATCAAGCACCGCGCATCAACCCAGCGGCAAACGCCTCAACACTCTCCGTCATCAGATCCAGCACGCCGTCCTCGCCCCAAAAGTGCCCGGCGGAAGCGACTTCGCGAGCGGCAAACAGCGACCCCTGCCCCCCCAGCCTGGCCACCCACGCGCGCAGCCTAGCCACCGGCACAAAGACGTCGCGGTCGCCAAAGACGGCCAGCGTCGCATTCTCCATGAGCTTCCTCTCCCCGGCGTCGTCGTCGCGGCGGCGCCCCGCGCGCGGCCACGGCAGCAGCGCCATGGTCGCCAGGTGCGTGACGACCCCCTGCAGCGGCGACACGAGCAGGTACGCCGGGCGCGGGCGCAGCAGGCCCTCGACGGCGGGCAGCGTCTCGGCGAGAGGTTCTTCGCGATGAGAGCTCGCGGACCGCCTGGCCATGCGGCGCACGCCCCTGCGGAGCCGGTCCTCGGCGTCGTCGAGCGAGAAGCTCCTCCGGCCGACGTGGACGCTGTCGCGGCTCTTGCGCCCCTCGTCGCCGCCGACGCGCACCGCCCCGGGGCGCCTGGCCGAGCGCGCGCTGCCCAGGACGAGGTTCTGCTGCTTGGCGAGGTGCTGCGCGCGGAGGCGCACCTGCGCGGCGTGCGAGCCGGCGCGCGGGCGGGCAAACGGCTCCAGGAGCCGGTCCAGCGGCGGCATCTGCGCCGTCACCATGGCGCCGTACGAGTAGCCGCCCATCAGGAGGACGGGACGTTGTGGCCTCGGGGCCCCGTCGGCGAAGGGGTCGAGAAAGTGGGCGTAGTGCACCGTGAAGCCCACGACGCTCGCGTAGTCGTCTCGCTCTGGCCGCGCCGTCCACGACGTCCGGCCGGCCGAGTGGCCTGCGCCTCTGCTTCAGGAGTCAGCGACCTTGTGGGTTCTTTGAAGGGGTCTGTCGTTGCCCGTTACCTAAAGTTAAAGGTGGCCACGAGATAGCCCGTCCGCAGCAGGGCCGCGGCAACACTGTCCAGCGTCGGATCGTCGTAGCACCCGCCCATGGGCGCGTAGGGGTGCGCAACCACGGCCGCGTGTCTCTCCCACGGCGGCGCGCGAGGGTTGGCCGCGGCCAGCGACGCCGGGTGGTAGACGCGACAGTCGAGCACGGTGCCGTCGTGCAGGCTGGGGATGGTGAAGCTCAACGCCGGCTCGGGAAGCATCTTGCGGGGCCTTTTTATCTGTACCCGTGTTGCATTTTGGACCTTGGAGTGTCGGACGGCTTCTCCGATGTTGGGTCTGTGTGTGGTTGTGTTTTTGTTGCGGTTTGCCTTTTTTTATTTTTTTTTGGAGAGGGGGCGAGGAAAGGTGAATCAAGCTCCCACCCAGCCTGCTTGCAGTCCGGATAAGCCACCGACTCACAGGTCCAGACTGGCTGCAGTGCGGCCCGGCCCAGCCAGTCTGTGTGATCTTGTCATGGCTGGGCGCCACGAACCAGGACCACGGCTAATTTTGTCACTGCCTGAATTATGGTGGTACCACGTAAACTTTATTCAGTGTCGTTGCGACAAGCACGAGTGTTCCGCACACCCTACATGTGTACAGGTGGTGAGAACCAAGAGGGCGGACAATAATTAAGAGCACATTGGCACATGACCGCAGCCGACGTTCAATTACCAGGCGTGAAATGCATCATTATTCGCTAATTTTTATTTTCCCCTTTTCCTTCTCTACTGGCCCTTTTTCTCTCTGGCCTCCTTGGCCTTCTGCTTCCGTTTCCTTATCCAATTCTTGAGCTCATTGACCAGTCCCAGCACCAGCGGCACCCCTACGGGCCCCAACAAAGGCAAGTAAACCGCAATCTTGTGCTCGTCTGGAAAGTACAATTGCCCAACCATGCTCTTCTCGAAAAAGGCCCTCTCCGCCTCCTCCTCGGCAACCCGTGCATGCAACAGCCCTTCTGGTCCACCCAGGTTGGCGCACGCCTGTTCCAGGTGCTGCAACGAGCTGGAAACGCCTTCGGCAACACTGCGAGGAATAGATATCGAAGGCAGGCTGGGCGAGAGCCGCGCCAGAGAGCCCAGAGACGAGGAAGCCCGAAGGAGCAGGTCCATTGTTCGTACCCTGGCCAGAGAGGAGAGCCGCAGCGGGAGAGATCCAGACTGCGGCGTGCCAAGGAGAGTCAGCAGGTGGCCGCCAAACATGAGCAGAGGCTGCTTGAGGGCATTTGCCGAGACGTGCTGCTCGGTAGGGGCCAGCGGCAGGAGATATACGGAGCCCCATTGAGGAATCATCCATGACTGTGAGTTTTCGACCTGGGCACTGTCAGATCCAATGGTTTGGTTGCCGACAAAGATGATAAAGTTGACCGTGGGTGCGCCGCCAATGGATGGTGAAAGGGGCCACTCTGCGGCATTGATAAACGACGCCAAGTGCTCCTTGTTGAGGATTTGTGATTGTACGCCAGGCGTGGCATACAGTTGGACCTGCGTATCAATGGTAAAGTTGTGAATGGGTCCCAGAACATCCAGCATTGGCTTCATGTATTCGTTGATGGCTGCATCGATATCCCACGTGTTGGGGGTGGCACCGTCGGTGAAGAGAGAAAAGCTCAGGTGGTAGGTAGGAGCATAACGCAGCGACCGGGTTGTGCGCTTCTTCAACGATTCTGCCGCCTCTTGGCCGAGACCGTGTTGTCTCGCGGTAGACGACATGGAAGACGTGGACAGCAGATACGAGATGATGGATTGCTCCTCGGAAAAGGTAGACTGGAGCTCATTGGCCATGTATGCTGCCAGGGCGGACGAGGCAGAATGGAGAGAGGGTATCGAGTTGGGAGCATAAGTCATGTCGAGCACGGCCGAGTGCTGGCTTAGCTGAGCAGAATTGGCGTCGCCGGGAGTCAGATTGATGGTCAAGGCGGAATCTGCATCTTGCCTGCTCGGGTTGGGGGGTTTTCTGTCGCTTTTGGGACTGAGCTTGAGGCGTAAATGGTGACCGGGGAAATCGTTGAGGTCGTCGAGGGCATGCTGTGTTAAGCGGACGAGATGCTGAGCTTCTTGGTCGGCAATGGAATCGGCACGAACAGAAATCTGCAGAGGAAACGCAGGGCGGCAGGCCTGGAAATATGTCAGAAGCCGCGTCGCATACAAGGAGAAGCTCTGACAGAGTGTCGAGGAGGGCATGCGGATGCAGACGTACCTTGCCGTCAGCCCATTGCAGCATTCTCTCGAGAGGCAAATCTGCGCGGTAAATTGACGTCGTCTTCCACCATATCGGCAATCCCAAAACGAGCACGATGAACCAGAATGACAGAATGACATGTGTACGGCGTCGGGTGTGGGCGGGTTTCTCCGGAGGAGGCTGCTTGGCGATAGGTCGGGCGGCGGCTTCCTGCGCGGGCACGGACGCGTCTGCTGTTATTTCTGAAGCCATTGTGTCCGACCGATCAACGTCTGTCTTGGCTCAACGCAGAGTATGGGTGTTTCGAGGATGTTGGCGACGGTTTGCGAGTAGCGGCAGGGTGTCCTTGTGCGCACCAGTGCTCGCGCTGGCCAAGTTGAAACTGTCGCAGGCCGTTCTGCCTCTGTACACTGCCGATTTCCAATGTCCAATGTCGTGTCAGCTCTGGTTCCGGCTGTTGGTCGGTATAGCCGCCAGCAATTGGCAGTTGGCCATTGACAAAGATTCAACTGCAGATGGCGTCGTGAGATGACACTTGGAGCTACAGCCTTGCACCGGCCCCACTCGAGGTGTTCAAGCAGCCGTCAGTCGAGCCTGGCGTGCTTACCTAAGTAGACTACCCTGTACACCAGTTGACATGCTGCCGCCACGCGAGCTCCTTGTGGCAGCCGTCGGGTTGCCCGCGGGCTGTTCCTTCCGTGCAAACACGAAGTGCCTCCTACTGCCAGGCTGCAAGGCACCAACCAATCCAGAAGCGCCAAAATGCGAATGTTCAATGTCAAGCGACTGGTGGTACCGGGCACAGAGCATTGAAACTTGTCATCTTCATCACCGCCGCATCCAGACACGTACGTGCTTTGCCCGGGACGGCATGTTCACCTAGCTTCAGCAACCATTCGCACTCTCTCTCACCTTACCCCTGGCCCCGTCTGTGGCCCGTCGACCCGCTTCCATTGCTCCACACCTCTTGGTCTTGGTCGAGCACCCTTTCCCATGGACCGAGGCATCTTTTTAGCGCCCCAAGCCACGGACAAGACAAAGACGCCAGCCGGATTTCGGGGTTCCTTGCTCGCCGCAAGCACGTCGCAGATGATTGCATCGAGTCTTGGCGCAAATGGCATTGCCCAGCGAAGCCAAGGCCACAGCACGGCCTGACGTGGCGCAACAACACATCTCGTGGATTCCACCGCAGTCGCATACTCGCGTTCCCGTTCTCTCCTTCAGCCGTTTCGTTTCCTCGCTGCGAGCCATCCGGCATTGGTTACACACGCTGCTTGAGCCGCTTTCCCCGGGGGACCCTGACTTGAATATATGAACTTATATGCAGACATCAACAACAAGCCAGTGCGCACGTGGAATACACAAAGCACCCGTCACCACCAGAAAACACAACGGCATCCGAGCCTCTGTTGGCACCGCCGGAGTCTCCATTTCATGCCAATCTTCCGCCCCGGCTTTGTCCTTTGAGCCGCACTGCCCGCCCCCGTCTCTGGCCCAGTCGGTCGACTCACTACGCTTAGCCTCACGACAGTCGTCGTCTCAAACTGCGCATTGGTCACTGCCATCGGGCCCCATTCTCGGAGAATCCTTGCAAGCTGCAACATGATAATGCAGTTTTGAATGCGGAGTAGACTGAGCTAGGAAACCATTTGCTGTAGCCCCACGCTTCAACCACAGACTCAGAGAGCCAACAGCCTCGGCTCAACTCCCGCTCTCAACATCGTGCCCGTTTCATTGATCCTGCTGTATGACGTCTGCAGATCGTTTTCTTTTCTAATTACATTGTTGACACATCGCGATCCTTGACCTTCTCTTCCATGAAAGAAAACTGCCGGTTACTACGCCTTTTCGCCCTTTAGATTCCCAAGCCAACGTTGCAAAGCACATCTGCCTCCATAGCAGGTCTTTGTCATTCGTCCACGATGCCACGTTCGTCTCTCCCATCCTACCTACCGGCTCTGATACATCCGCCATATGCTCACTACGTGTTCCAGTTCCTCTTGCTGTGACGATTCCGGCCACAGCTGCAGCATTCGCCTACGTCAACGCCAAAACTTCCCTCTGGTACGACTACCTTCTTTTCAAATCAGCTTTCAAGTCAGCCGGCCGCGTCTTTCTCCGCCAGCACCGTGGCAATCTATCCGTCTTCCACAACCTCGAGGACCGGGCCAAGCACCCTTCCACAGCCAACAAGGACCTCCTCATTTTCGAAGGCCGCCATCACACATATGCCCAAGTTTATGACAAAGCTTTGCGCTATGGAACATGGCTGCGAAACAATTTCGGCATCAAGCCAAAAGATGTCGTGGCCATGAACTTTGAGAACTCGGATACCTTCATCTTCGTCTGGCTCGGACTCTGGAGTATCGGTGCCAAACCAGCCTTTATCAACTACAACCTTACCGGCAAATCGTTGGCACACTGCATCAAAGCATCCAAATCCAAGATTTGTCTTATTGACCCCAGCGTGGCTGCCAATGTGACGGACGACGTGCGGGCCGACCTCGGCGACGTCAACTTTGTCATATTCACGCCAGAACTTCAAGCCCAGGCGACGGCCACGTCTCCCGTTCGCGTGCCAGACTCGGAATTGGTCGAGGACGACCTGTCCAACTTGGCCATCCTGATCTACACCTCTGGAACGACGGGCTTACCCAAACCCGCCGTGGTGTCGTGGGCAAAGGTCATTGCAGGGGGCACCATTGTGGAAACGCTGCTTGCCCGTGGAGGCAACGACATCATGTATACGGTGAGTCTCCTTGTCAATGATTGACGCGCCGCCACCTTGACACGTACTGACAAGATGCAAAATGCTGTGTCCTGCGTCTAGTCTATGCCGCTCTATCACTCCGCAGCCTCCTTGCTGTCGTTTTGTTCCACCATGCTCGCCGGCAGCACACAGGCCATCGGCCGCAAATTCTCCACCAAGGTATTCTGGACCGAGGTGCGAGAGTCCAATGCCACCATTATCCAGTATGTTGGCGAGACGCTGCGCTACCTCCTTGCTGCACCACCCCAGTACGATGCCGCCACTGGCGAGTGCCTCGACAAGAAGCACAAGGTCACGGCAGCGTTTGGCAACGGCCTCCGTCCCGACATCTGGAACCAGTTCAAGGACAGGTTCGGGGTGGACACGATCCTCGAGTTTTATGCCGCCACGGAAGGCCCCTTTGGCCTGTGGAATCTCAGCCGCAACGACCACACGGCGGGCGCCATTGGCCGCAGCGGCCTCCTCTACGGCGGCTTGCAGTCGCTGAGCCTGTCGCTCGTGGAGCTGGACTGGGCGACGGATCTGCCTAAGCGAGACGCCGAGACGGGCTTCTGCACCAGGGTCAGGCCCGGCGAGCCCGGCGAGCTCATCTGCAAGCTCGACCCGGAGAACATCTCCCAGCGGTTCCAGGGCTACTACGGCAACGAGGGTGCGACATCGTCCAAAGTCATGCGCGGCGTCTTCAAGCCAGGCGATGCATGGTTCCGCACAGGCGACGTTACTCGGTGGGACGCAGACGGCCGCGTGTACTTCATGGACCGTATCGGTGACACCTTCCGCTGGAAGTCTGAAAACGTGTCGACAGTCGAGGTCAGCGAGGCCCTCGGCCGCCACCCCTCGGTCCGCGAGGCCAACGTCTACGGCGTCGAGCTGCCGCACCACGACGGCCGCGCAGGCTGCGTCGCCATCGCCTTCGACAAGGCCCCCGACAAGTCGGTGCTCCGCAGCCTCGCCTCCCACGTCCAGTCGACGCTCCCCCGCTACGCCCAGCCCCTGTTCCTCAGGGTCCTCAAGGAGGTCGGCGGCGCCGCCCAGACCACGGGCACCATGAAGCAGCAGAAGCACCTCCTGCGCTTAGCCGGCGTCAAGCCCGGCAACACCAAGACCGACGGCGAGCTGTACTGGCTCAAGGGCGACACCTACGTCCCCTTCCAAGACACCGAGTGGCAAGACCTCCAAGCCGGCCGCGTCAAGCTGTGATTTGACTCGGTAGACCGCAATGCATCCCATGCCTCCTGCTTGCATCATTCATAGAATTTTTGGTCCATTATTTCTTTTTTTTTTTTTTCCCGCCCTTGTTCATAGCCCTTGTTTCCCTTTCTATTAGCATGAGCTTCAAATACGTGCGTGCGGTGGCAGTGTCTTCGAAACCAAATTATGTCGTTGGGACTAGATTTTCGAAATAGACAAGTGTGTTCTTTTGCAATGCATCTAGATAACTTCAAGCTGAATTGCGCTTCTTTTTTCCTTCCCTTTTCTCGTGGTGAACTAGGACCGGATATAACCACGTCGCCATCCACCTGGCTTATACAACACCACATGTAGAATTTCATGTCCGGGACGGCAAAGAGTCTGTCCTTGACATGCAAAAGACAATATATACGTAAAGTACGTTCCTAAATAACAACACATCATTCCCTTCCATCCATTTTTGCTTCATAAATTTTTTCCGACCCAGCTCCGTCACATCGTTCAACACACGTCATCAAGTCATTGCTTCTATAATGCTTCGTAGCAGACAGTCTTCTATCCATTGAGCACTCCAAAGGTAGGAGTACGTAACGCCATCGCACAGGCCCAAAATAACCTATGATCCCGCAATTCCCAGCCCTACGCGTTGTCCGCTTGGGCCGTGTTGGGCTGCGCCTCCATACGCGGCGCTTCCGGGAGGAGCCAAGCTTGCCGTGCCGCCGGTACCTGTCCTGTCGCGCATTCTTCGGCCTTCCATCAAGCCCCTGAGGCCTCGCTTCTGCAGGCCGATGACACTGCTGAGTTCGCCGTTCCAGATGAAGCTGTGGTCACGGTCGCTGCTATCAACCTCCGATCCCCATTCCGAGCCGCTCATGCTCGCCGAGGCGGACATCTCCCCACTTGACGGGCGGCCAGACTTCTGGACGCCTGTGTTGATGCTGAGGCCAGATGTCGCAGCAACCAAATCAACGGCGGATTCGTTGGCAGTCGTGCCGCCCAGGGAGAAATCCGATACCAGAGTCGGCGATCCAACCGGGTCGGAGCTGCTCACAAAGAAGTTGGGGTTAAGAGACCCGTCGATGCCACGCCCACCGCCAGCAGCCATGGCCGTGGCATTGAAGACGGCCGCAGCATTTCGGCTGTCCAACAACCCGTGCAGACGCTCAACTACGGCTTCAAGCAAACCGTCGATACGGTAAGGTCGTGCGATCTGCAGGAGCGAGCATAAAATTTGGGGAGTACACAGCGGTGAAGAGGGTGGTGGCAACGAGCTCGTATAGAGGAAGTGCAA